AACAAATAAGGTAGTACTCCAAGAAATTAAAATTACAACAGTTTAGGATTTAAAATAGGTACAGAGGAAAAAATCAGTTTGACACTCTAAGTAGTAATCAACAACAACAACAACATACCCAGTGAAATCCCACTAGGTGGAACTCAAAGTAGTAATCAAGTAATATAAAATATATAGTGGAAGCATTTTGCAGGAAGTACAAGTACGGCATTATGAAGTTTAAATCACCTCATAGTTTTTTTAAGATGAACAACACCAAAAAAATAGCCTAGATAAACAGCACGCTACTGTCAATCGTGATGAAGGTTTTGCACATGTAGTTCTGATAGTCATTATAACTCACCGGAATGTTATTAGGCTGAACATTATAAGCTGGGTCAAGTTCATTGCCTTGGCCATCATTGTCCTCCCCTCGCACCTGAAATTGGTACAGCAGCTGCAGATAGTGCTATTTTAGTACTTTAAACTATAAGATAATTAGCAGACGTTCCAAATTCATGACAGGATTCAACTACAAGGATCAAAATATGTAATTACATGTGTGAAGTTGAACATTGACTTCTAAATTAAATTGAAACAAAATTAACATATTGTGAGACTATTTAAAGTTACTGCCCCATAAAACTTAAATTACAATATTTCAGGACACAGAAGAGGTAGACAGCAATAGATAGTTTTGATTCTCTTAGGTAGTAATGATGGCAGGTACCAAAATGATGATAATGTGTTTCTAGGGCAGAAAAAAAAATAGAAGGATGGGGAGAAATGGAGAAAGAAAAGATTTTTGGAGATGCCATCACAAGTACGACTTATTGAAGTTTACATTTCTTTTTATATATATACACATATATGTGTGTGCGCATTTGTGTGTGTGTGGAGGGGGGTGGGGGGGCACCAAGCCTGACTTGTAGTGCAACGCCTAGGCAGTGGACCAATGGCCCACATATCAGATGTTATATTGATAAGAGCAGATGTTGTACCTCATTATTTTTTAGAATAAACAACACTACAAATTACCCAGGATAAACAATATGCTAGTGTTATTTGGATTTAGAATAAAGTTTGCAAGGTATTTTAAACATGCAGTGTTGAAAGTCACAACCACTCACCGAGATGTTATGAGGCTAAACCATTTGATTAGCCAGGTGAAATTTATTTCCTTGCACATCATTTGCCTCTTCCATTAAAAATTCATCAATGTTGAACTCAGGTTCACTGAAAGAAGCCTACAGAAATAACATCAAAAAATTAGGTTGTGTTAGTTCTCAGCAAGTGTTCAACTTATTTTTCGGGGAATGAAGATAAGAAATTCTTTAACTTTAACTTCAAGACAACTAACAAACGTTCCAAAATTCATGTCGGGATTCAAATACATGGTTCAAAATATGTAATTATCTCTGTGAAGTTGAACATTAACTCTTCATTTCGATCGAAATAAAATATACATATTTTGAGACTACAAAAAAGGTACTTCTCCATAAAATTTAGATTACAACATTTTAGGATTTAAAATAGGTAGACAGGAAAAGATCGGTTTGACTCTCTGAGTAGTAATCGTGTTATACAAAATATATAGAGGGAGTATTTTTGCAAGAAGTACAAGTACGACTTTATGAAGTTTATATCACCAAATAGTGTTTTTAGGATTAACAACACCAACAAATTAGCTAGGATAAGTAGCACTCACTGGAGGCTTATTTGGTTGAACCATTTGATAAGCTGGGTGAACTTCATTTCCTTGGCCATCATTTGCCTTGTCCTGCACCTGAAATTGGCACTGTAGCTCGTTCCAATTTAGTACTTTAAACTGTAAGATAACTAACAAACATCACAAATTCATGGCAGGATTCAAATACATGGACCAAAATATGTAAATATTTGTGTGAAGTTGAACACTGACTCTTCACTTGGATCAAAATAAAATTTACATATTTTGGGACTACAAAAAGATACTGCTCCAAAAAATTACAATAGTTTAGGATTCAAAATAGGTAGATAGGAATAGACCAGTTTGACTCTCTGATTAGTAATCGTGTCATATAAAATATATATAGAGGAAATATAAAATATATAGAGTAAGTACAATATTGCAGGATACAAAAGAGGTAGACAGCAAAAGATCGTTCCGACTCTCTAAGTAGTAATAATATCATATAAAATATATAGAGGTCGGTCGGAAGTACAAGTACAACTTTATGAAGTTTAAAATTCCTTTATATATATATATGGGGGGGCACCAAGCCTGACTTGTTGTGCAACGACTAGGCGCAGCAAAGGCCCAGGTAGCAAGCTATCTTAGTGAGCCGTTCCCCTGAAGAAAATGTCAATATCATGATGACCAATGGCCCACGAATAAGATATTAAATTGATAAGAGCAGATATTGTACATCATTGTTTTTTATGATAAACAATATGCTACTTTTATTTGGAATAAAGTTTACATGGTACTATGTAGGGTTGAAAGTCACTATCACTCACTGGAATGTTATGAGGCTGAACCATTCGATTAGCCAAGTCAAATTTATTTCCTTGGACATCATTTGCCTCTTCCACCTGAAACAGGTACGGTAATTAGTGTTATTTTAGTACTTTAAACTGAAAGATAATTAATAGATGCTCAATAATTTGTGATGGGATCGATGAATAGGAGGATCAGAATATTTAACTATCATGAATTTTAACATTGACTCTCAATTTTATCAAAATAAATTTACCTATTTTGAGACTATGTAAAATGTACAGAATAGAATTCAAATTAAAATATTAGGATTCAAAATAGGTGGACAGACTTACTGGAATGTTATTAGGCTGAAACATTTGATAGGCTGGGTGAAATTCATTTCCTTGGCCAACATTCGCGTCCTCTTCTACCTGAAATTCATACTTCAGCTAGTGTTATTTTTAGTACTATAAACTGTAAGATTTAATAAATGTTTCAAAATTCATGGCAGGATTCAAATACATGGATCAAAATATATAATTATCCAATGTAAAGTTGAACATTGACTCCTCATTTAGATCGAAATACAATTTTGTATATTTAAAGAATAGAAAAAACATACTACTCCATAAAATTAAGATAACAATACTTTAGGATTCAAAATAGGTAGACAAGAAAAGATCAGTTTGACTCTAAATAGTCACAATGTCATATAAATAAAAAATATATCGAGGAAGTATTTTTTCGGGAAGCACAAGTACGACTTTATGAAGCTTAAATCACCTAACAGTTTTTTTAGCATAAATAACACCAACAAAATAGCCTGGATAAACAGCACTCAATGGAATGTTATTCGGTTGAAGCACTTGATAAGCTGGGTGAGATTCATTTCCTTGGCCATCATTTGCCTCTTGAACCTGATATTGGCACTGTAGCTAGTGTTATTTAGTACCTTAAACTGTAAGATAACTATAACAAACATTCCAAAATTCTAGCAGGATTCAACTACATGGATTAAAATATGTAATTATCTCTGTGAAGTTGAATACCGACTCTTCATTTAGATCAAAATAAAATTTACATATTTTGAGACTACAAAAAGGTACTACTCCATAAAATTTTAAGGCTAAATAACTTAATATGTTTTGTAAGATAGCTACTCAAACTTAGTCCGTGACAAAATAGATAGTTGAACTAGGCAAAAGTGTGTGCTTCTACTGTGTTAAATAGACTAAAAACATAAGTATAACTAAAAAATAAAATAAATACAATAAGAATAAAGAAATGCAACCCTGCACCCCAAGATCATCCCCTCCATTTCCCCATCCCCAGACTGTCTGCTCATATCTCATACCAGAGACATCCTTCACTTCATAATTGTGGAGTCTTCTCCTCGTCTTAATCTTTAGCTGTATTCCTGATTTATTTTTCCCCTGAATTTGAACTTTTAATTAAACAAGTCATTTGCCGGCAGTAATTTTTCCAATGCAAACCCAATTGCAAAAAAATTGGATAAAAGTTCTGTCATCATTATTGTGTTGTATTTTTCTCTTTGTTGGAAGAGTTGAAGGAATCTAGAAGAAGCTATGAGTGGGAGTGGTGGCACTACCATGTTATACATTTGTGTCTATAAGACACTTCTGCCAAGTTCAAGCATATCTGGTCACTTGCTAAGTTTGAGTGTTTATTTTACAAAACGTGCTAAGTTTAAAGGGATATTTAGGGCATGGGCATTTAGCCAAATTTAAATTACACTAGTTAGGATTCAAAATAGGTAGACAGTAAAAACATCAGTTTTGACTCTCTCAGCAGTAACGTGTCATATAAGATATAGAGGAAGTATTTTGCAGGAAGTACGAGTACAACTTTCTGAAGCTTAAATCACCTAATAGTTTTTTTAGGATAAACAACACCAACAAATTTGCCTGGACAAACAGCACTCACTGAAATGTTATTAGATTGAACCACCTGATAAGCTTAGTTAGAGTCATTTCCTTGGCCATCATTTTCCTCCTTTTGCACCTGAAATTGGCATTGTAGCTAGTCCTATTTTAGAACTTTAAACATTAAAAAAACTAACAAACGCTCCAAAATTCATGTCGGGATTCAGATACAAGGTTCAAAATATGTATTGCAGGATACAAAAGAGGTATACTAATATATAAACCAACCTGATAGGTCTGGAGTGGAACGATGTCAGAGAGGAAATCGAAAAGCTCTTCATCCCTATGGCCCTAGTAAAGCCATAACGCTTCAGAGTTCGACATTTGCCTTGATCAGCTTGCATCCACGCACGAAGGGTGAGGTCCATAATAAACATCTCAATTGCTTTCAAAAACAGAACCGTAGAATATGCGCTAACCATCTGAATTTACTCATTCCCATTAAAAGTAAAAAAAAAATTAAGTAGCCACTCCCCAGATAGAAACAGCAGATGAAGAAAAGTTAGAAGCAATTTAAACGTTTCAAGTTCCAACCAATAGCAAATGGAGAAATAAAATAAATTAAAAGATATGACCATGGTTAATGTCAATGGAATAAGCCAAAGCCATGGACATACCTTTACTTGATCATTTGACTTCATAGCCCGTCTGATCCTTGAGATGGGCAGGTCGTGTTTTCTCTTTGGATCTACAGATAAAATGAAGCGGCTGCATGAAGGTAAAATCAACACGAAAAACAGCAGCAAAGTACACAAACCCCACTATTTCTAAAAAAGTAAAAAAGATCTTTCACTTGCAATTTGTTTCACTGATTTTTATGATTTCTAGTACTGGTTCTAAAGACATGACCTGCACATGACTTATGAGTGTGTCATGACCGGTGGAATTGGCATTACTCTAACAGTGAAATGCCCCAGAAAGGTTGCAATAAGAGAGAGAATGCCTCTAAAGAAAATATGTGCAGCATATGTATTATTGAAAAATTTCCATAGATGACATTTATGCAATGATTGGAGATACTTCTAACAAAATTAACATATGTGACGGACGTGGATGGTCTTAAAATGGCCCAAAAGCTCAAGAATATCCTTAGATTACGGATGAATGACACATATCAGTGGTCTCTGTAGGTAAACATTGGTGACTTGTGAGGAGCCAAAAAAGACCTGAACGTAGAATTTCTTCCTTTTGTCGCTTCCAGAAAGAGAAGAGGTTTTCTTTTAGCAATTGCATAAAACTTGGGTCTCTTTCATCTTCATCCTAGATATGCAACAAAACCAAAGGGACAAATCTCAGCTTATATGAAAATGGTAGCTATATGTGAAAAGTTTCTCATGAAAGACTTCATTGTATTGATTACCTGCTGAATTTTCTTGTCACTTGGCATGGAGCTATCCATATGAATCGGCCTCTGCATTTCCGAAGATAGTGCTGATGAGGATTTTGGGAGTTCCATGAATGAACTATTGAAATCCATGTCTTCTCCAGATTGACCATATCCGGAGAAGAAGGGCCTTTAAATAGCAGGAACACCATGCCGTAACTGCCTTTTCTTCCTTTGCCCCCACCCCAGGAGAACTACTAGGCATTAATTTTGAAGTCATCGTTAAGGACCTATTTATTAGGAATAGTTCTAAGATATGTTCATCATTAATAAGGAAATGATCCTTCATTTAACCATTGATCAAATTTCTTTATGAAGATGTGTGAAACAATAAGTGTTTATTTGACATGCTCTAGATATTTGACTTGAGGAGTAGCTTGCAAATGGAGACACGCCATTCATCAAAGGAAAACAAAAAAGAAAGAAACAAATGGCTCACTAAAACCCTCCATCCACCTTGGGGTCTAAAAATACCCCTCAAACTAACACTCTAAATCTGATGATTTTTTGCAATTTAAACTAGCCACATGACTTATTATGATTGGCAACATATGTATTTTTTTAATGTCTGCGGTGTCCCCCCCAGCTTTCTTGCACCTCGACTAATTCCACAAGATACCTGCCACCTCCCACCAGCAACAGGTACCAAGTAACTCCATCCACCAAGGCTAAGACGGATGCGAAGAATCACCTAGTGTTTTTTGTCTCCCTGAGTTTTGAGCCTTCATTGACCACTAGGCCACACCATTGGGTGCGATTGGCCACATATATTACATAATTTGAAAATTAAATCCACCCACTTTAAAACCCAAACACGCTAATTATATTACTAGAGTTATGGAGGTCCTGTCATATTTTAGTGATGTTACAGGTTTGGTTGCAAATATGGAGAAGTGTAGCCTTTTTCTGGCTGGTGTTGATGAACTTACCAAAGAACAACGGCTAGCCTTAACTGGATTCACTCAAGGCATCTTTCCTATTAGGTATCTTGGTTTGCCTCTTTCAACTGAAAAATGGAACAAACTGGGAATGTTAGCAGTTGGTTGATAAGATCACTAGTAGGATCAATATTGTGTATTCAAAACAATTATCATATGCTAGCAGACTACAGGTGATTCAAGCAGTTCTGTTCTCTATTCATAGCTTTTGGGGGTCTGTTTTCATCTTGCCCCAGAGTATCTTGTAGTAGATATGAAATGCAGGGACCTCTCGGGTGGTACAGAGGAGAGGAGAAAAATGTCACTCTGTGGCATGGGACAAGGTCTGCCGTCCAAAGAAGTTTGGGGGGTTCAATATTAAGAAACCGTAGAAGCTGGAATATTACTTCTGTTGGGAAATTTACTTTGGCAATTGTCAGAGGAGGACTTTTTTATGGGTGATGTGGGTGCATGGTGTGTATATGTGGACAAATACCAATATATGGATTCACCAACCACCTCAAGATTGTAGTTGGTACAGGAAGAAGATTAATGCTTTAAAGGAGATGACAAAGGGATGGTACACTCAAGGGAGATGTAAGTTAACTTATTATGGACGTTATTCCATTACTGAGAGCTATGATGCTATGTTGGGGCAGCAGAGAAGGCTCAAGATTTCAGAACTCATCTGGACTGCACGCACTGGAGACTCCTCTACACCTATTTGCAGAGTGTACCTAAATAGGACCAGTGAGATGGTATCCAACACTGGTTAGGATTAACTAGTCCTAAGGGTGAAGTTCAGAAGAGGAGCATTGGAAGCAGTTCCAAAAGGAAATGATTGCAACTATCTGGGGAACAGTAATCTATCATGCCTGGACAGCAAGGAATTGGCAGATTTTTAGAGGAACACTTGTTTATACAGATGCAGCTATAGTACAGATTAAGAAAGAAGTGATTGAGAGATTAGATTTACTCAAAGGTTCTAGGAAAGCTAGCAAATGTCATAGCATAGGCTGATAAACAAGAAGCTTGTACCAGATTGTTTTTCTTTGTTTCAGTTGGAGGCGTAATTCTCCTTTGCACCCTTCCTAGAAGGTGGCTATGGAATAGGTGCTCTTAAGTTGGTTATGGTAATTTACAGTTTAACCCAAAAAACTTTAAAACAATGATAGCAAGGTAAACCACATCAAACTTTCTTTGGCCGTACCAATTTTATTCTTAAGCATCTTCAGAAGGATTGTGCAATTCTCAAATGTAATAAAGCAATCTCAAAATCAAATTGACAATCATACAAACTTTTACAATATATTATCAAAGAAATGAAATAAGCAAACTTAAATTTGGACCTGTCCAAGTTGTTCTTGAGCATCTTCACAACGAGTGTCCAAGAACTGTGCTATTCTCCAATGTGATAAGTGATAACGCCATTTTGGTTCAGCAAACACCTGTGTTAAGCGTAATGTTTAATGAGGAAAACAATAAGATCATGAAAATAAGATAAACAAATACAAGCACTAATTAAATAACATGAACTCTCACAATAGCAATACTACTGGAGTTCAATTTCTGCACGTTTCATATTTTGACTTCATACTATACAATTTTAAGGTGAAAATTGTACCATCTCAGAGATTTTCCTAACTTTGATTCTTATGTTGTACTATACAATTTGGTGCTACTACTTTCCCTACTAACCAGAAAAGGAAGCGAAAACCTACCCAAGAACAATGTCAAAGAAGTTTCTTCTTGCCGCTGATGTTAAAACTCTCCAAGAAAATCATTTGAATGTCAAAGAAGTTTTCTTCTTGCGGCTTGATGTTAAAACCCTCCTAGAACAATCTCTCCAAGAAAACCATAGTTCCAGCAAAATCATGTGAATTCAACCTCTCCAAGAAAATCACTTGATTCTTATGTCTACTATACAATTTGGTGCTACTGCTTTCCCTACTAACCAGAAGAGGAAGCGAAAACCTACCCAAGAACAATGTCAAAGAAGTTCCCTTCTTGGCGCTTGATGTTAAAATTCAGGTGCAATCTCTCCAAGAAAATCATTTGAATTCTCCGGTGATTGATATCATCGAAAGATTTCAAGAAATTGACTGTCTGAATGTTTGTGTAGTGAATAATAATGTTATCATTCGCGGGTTCTATGAGGGTATATGGAAATATAATCCACCGCTACCTTATTATTTATACTGTTTAATTGAAAACAAATGAGGTTTAATTAATTAATAGGGTCCTTTTGGTCCGCATACGACTACTAATTATGTCTCCTCAACTATGATAAATAGATTGTTTGTGAATAATAATGTAAAAATTATTGTCGTGAATAAAAATTAAATAATTATTATCTAAAAACTAATACTCCTATCTTCTATGTCCACTTACTTTCTTTCTTTTTTCAATCTACTGAAGAATGACACATTTTTATCTTTAGTAATAATTTAATTTTAAAATACTTATTTTATTCTTAATGAAATTATTTATATTCACATAAATTTCTATCACTTATTTTAAACCATAAAATTCAAAAATCTCTTTCTTAAATTTCGTATTAAGTCAAACTAACTCATATTACAAAATAGGACAGAGGAGCACTTCAAAAGATATTTGATTTACTTTTATCCTTAAAGATGCTCTTTACATTTCCTTTTTGTTGAGTTAGTCAAAATATTAGCTAATAAACACTAATGAATTTACAGTTCTAAGAATGTTTAATTATAAAAGGCAATCAATAAGATGATTAAACATGCATGTATTCATTATAGTTTTATCATCCGTGAATGGAGGTCATTGATGTAATTTCCAAAAACTTCAGTCATTAAGCATCAACCATCATGAGCAGAGAAAGTAACAAACTTCTTCATTGAGGAAGGAGCTAAGAAAGAAATATTTGATCGTATTAGAATGCTCGTAGTTCTTTTATATTTACAAATAATGTAGTAGTATGCAAAAACATTCTATGAATTACTTTTTAAAGAATATTTATACAATAGCTATTTGGTTACACACTGTAACGAACTATTAGGAGCCCAATATTCCCACTAGAGCCGTCAATATGGGATAGGCATGTTGGGCCGGCCTGGTCTAACTCGAGATTTAATAGGGCTGGGTTAAAATTTTTGGAGCCCATTTAAAAAAAAAAGCTTTTTAGCCTGGCCTGAATATGCCTGCTGATTTGTGAGACTTGAGAAATATAGGTAGGGCCGGCCCGTGGGCTAATACAAATTAATTTTAAAATATAATATAATATTAAAATTTAAAATTAAAGAGATCCAAACTCAATTTATTTAAAGTTTTTTAGGAAATCACTAAGTATAGAAATTGCATCCACCATGAAAATGTCCAAACAGTTGTTGCTACTCGAAACTGGTTACATGGTTTTTCTCAAACTGGTAATATATTTTTGTGTACATTTAAATATTATAATTCTCAATTTAGTTATTTTTTAATATTTAACTAATTGAAACCGCATATAAATTGCATATGAAAATGAAGATGTTAAGACAACCTTCCCACAAGTTGATTCAGATATGCTTGATGAAGATGATCATGAAGTGTTAGATACGTTATAGGTTTCATGAAGTGTTAGATACGCCATAAGTTTCATGATTTTTTAAGGAGTTTATTTTTTACATTTTTATGGTTGGAATATTGTCATATTTTTTGTGTTTTATTGTGATCATTGCAAAACAGTTAGGTTAATATTTCTATTTAGATATTTATATTTTTACTTGAAAAAAACTTAATAAATATTATAAAGATAATTTTATTTGTGGATTTGATTAACAAGTAGTAACATTAACACCATGTAATATTGTTTTGTCGATATTTATGATAATATTTTAAATTATAATTTATAATTTAATTTAATAATTATAAAAAAATATATAACTTTTAAAAAAGTGGACTGGCCCGGCAAGCCTGTAGCCCACGTACTTGTGGGTTGGGCCGATCGTTTTCTGGCCCACACCAAAAATGGGCTAGCCTGGCCTAACCCGTAAAATGTCAAAGCCTGTATGGGTTAGCCCGGATGGGGTGGGCTAGCCCATATTGACAGCTCTAGTTCCCACCAACTTGTTTATTATTTATATACTCACTGTTGATTTGACGCACCCCTTAAGAAATTATAAATAAAAGGGTAATTTTACTATATCACCATTTGAATATAATAAATACAATGTCTTAAAATATGTAATAGAAAAATAATTATAATTAATGATTAATGATAAGGGTAAATTAGGAACTAAGTATAAAATTACATGAATTTCATAAAGTGGACAATCATTGTTGGACATCTATTTTTAGTATAGTGGACAAGTATTGTTAGACGGAGAGAGAATATTATATCAATCCAATTTACCCCGAGAGAAGAGAAATTACTCTGTACATATTTTAAAAGTAAAAAAAATGTACATATTTTAAAAGTCAAAAGAAGAATGCATATATTGGTAATAGAAAATGGAAGAAATAAATTCCGATTTATAAATCA